ATACCGACTAATTTGCAATCGAAATTTTTTCGTTTCAATAACCTCTGTTACTTTTCTTGTATCGGAAGCGAATATAATGACGAGGCATTTGATTAAATCAAATCAAAGATGGAGTACATCGAGATGAAATACTACATTGAGTAAGCAAATTATAAGCCATAAAATAAAAACACTGCTCTTAAGGTAAGGATAGTGAATTCATTGCACGCCGCCGCCGCGTTAAAGATAAACAAGTTTAGATAAACAAACGTTAAAGTTAGATAAACAGCGTTTAAAGTTTAGATAAACAAATATATGCCTTATCCATTTTTGCAGCAATTCCACTTTTTTGTATGGGCTCCGAAAGATACTTTCGCTTTGTATTGCTTTACATATTAGTAATATATATCGAAATTCTATTGACATAATCGAAAGTTCAAGCTTACTTTTATAAAATTGCTCTAACAGTCTGCAAAAATAAAATTTATGCAAATATTAAATTTTGTAATTTTTTTTTTTTAGTTCCATGTTTTATTTTTGTTTATTATTAAAATTTGATTACATAACTGTTTTCTTTTTCCTCCCCTCCCCTAGAAACTTTGTTAGGGGCTGCAAGAACATAACAATTTTTTTAGAACTTGCTAGACATGGAAAAGTTTGGGAACTTGTGTCTTAGAAGATGATATTGTGAAGTTCAAGTTTTGAACCAATAAAGAATACTGTATATGTACATATAAAAAAATGTAATATCTATGTGAATATGTTTCAAACCTGTTTCTGAATATATATAATATTTATTTATATTTACATAATACACTTAAAAAAAAAGGGAAGATAACTAAAATTTTCATTTAATAAACTTAATATAGTTACATGCAGGAGTAGTGTTTGAGCCCAGTACTAGCATATGTATACAGTCAAAAGTCGTTAATTCGGACACCCATAATCCGGACCTCTAAAAGCTACGACCTTTCTCTGCGCTTGCGTCGCGTTGACGCATGCGCGTAAGACCTTTACCGCTCGCTGCGAATTTGCGTGTGCGCGTGCGCAAATACTTTATTAAAGCGCGTTTAATGTATAACGGACGGGATAAGCTAAGCTAAAATTATCTAATTATCTATTTCAGTTAATGTTGCAGATTGCGTTGTTCCTTAATCTTCGAATTGGATCCGGATTATTATTTTTTGCAAACTGGTTAGAGCAATTTTATAAAAGTAAGCTTGAACTTTCGATTATGTCAAATAGAATTTTCGATATATATTTCCTAATATGTAAAGCATATACAAAGCGAAAGTATCTTTCGGAGCCCATTACACAAAAAGTGGAATTGCTGCAAAAAATGGATAAAGGCATATATTTTGTTTATCTAAACTTTAACGCTTGTTTATCTAAACTTTAACGTTTGTTTATCTAAACTTTGTTTATCTTTAACGCGGCGGCGGCGTGCAATGAATTCACTATCCTTACCTTAAGAGCAGATGTTTTTATTTTATTTGGCTTATAATTGCTTACTCAATGTAGTATTTCATCTCGATGTACTCCATCTTTGATTTGATTTAAATCAAATGCCTCGTCATTATAATTCGCTTCCGATAGCGAAGAAAGTAACAGAGGTTATTGAAAACGAAAAAATTTCGATTGACAAATTAGTCGGTATTCTCGACACAGCAATTATAGGACGGAACAGCGGAACTTTGTAACTGAACAAGAAATTATGTCTGTTTATGGAATTAAAGAGAATGTATTATCACATAAAAAACGAATCAACTTAAACAACTTACATTGAAAGAAATGTTTAATTAAGTAAACAAATAAATATTAAGCTTTTTTTGTAAATTTTGATACCCTTTAGATCATAATTGTTCTTTATTTCGTAAATTACGGTTTTATATTTTTAATTTTATAATTTCTGCATGCCATTTTACCAGATTTAAACTGATGATCTATAATCCGGAAAAATCGATAATCCGGAATCGCCAAAGTCCCGACGAGTCCGGATTAACGACTTTTGACTGTATTAATAATACGACTACGAACAAAGACAGATTGAACAAAAGCTTGGCTACTTTTGAACAATGCACTTGGCTCTAAAATTTATTCTGGTAACCTTACATTGCATCAGCGATTTCGAAAGGCATCATGGGAAAAAGTACACATTTTTCGGTAAACTTTCGGTATCAGGGACTCAGTTATCTGTAAAATTCTGAGTTGAACAGTGTTAAGCGAATTTAGCGTACTGCGCATGCTTGACGGTGTACCTTTGGCGCGGGGAGAAATATTGGCGACAAAGCAACCCTACGTTAGCTTATTCGTGATCTCCATGGCTGTCGAGTGTGGTCGAGTAATGTTTAAAAACTGCAATGTTGTGGAACTTTGCTTATTACTTATTTTAACGTCCATGCCGATTGCACTTGCTTATTTTTCTAATATATGTTTCATCTTAATTTGTCAATAACAGTGCATTTAATATTTGTTAACATACGTTCGTAATAATTCGTTATTTAAATGTAATTTGTTTACATGTTATAATTCAGTAATTGTAAACTGGAGTATCTCGCTTAGTTTGTTAGCGTATATTCGAGTTTTTATTTTCTCATTTCAAAGAATTTAATAACTAGCATTAAAGAGTTGTAAAATTTCTTCAGTGTTATTTGCAAGCACTTGTTATATTCCTCAGTGTTTCTTTATGTATGTACGAATGGAACGTATGGTAAATCTCGAATTGTTTTTATTGCTTAAAAGTATAAGGAATAAATTTTCAACTAATATATCCTAAATTTCAGTCTTTTTCTGAACGAAAATTTGTACAGTTCCAAAGGAATGTGCAGAATTTCATAAGTATTATATTTTACATTTTCAATGCAAATACTGCTTCACATTATTTCGCGATAATTACAGCTTTTTAGTTGTTTGAGCAGTACAGCAAAAAATAGTATTTTAACACAGTAATTAATTTACATTTACATTATACTCTACGAAGATTTAAATGCCAGATTTGTTTACAATCAGATGGCGGTACATCTACCCTATACCGTATTTATCTTCTTTTCAAATCGCGCCAACATAGTAAATACGCCAAATTGTTTTCTGGGCATGCGCAGTATGCGACATTCGTTTAACACTGTTCAACTCAATGTGCGGTCTGCCATTACGCTTCCGGATTATCGGTTTTTCCGGATTATAGATCATCAATTTAAATCTGGTAAGATAGCATGCAGAAATTATAAAATTAAAAATATGAACCGTAATTTATGAAATAAAGAACAATTATTATCTAAAAGGTATCAAAATTTACAAAAAAAAAAAAGCTTAATATTTATTTGTATACTTTATTAAACATTTCTTTCAATGTAAGTTGTTTAAGTTGCTTCGTTTTATGTGATAATACTTTCTCTTTAATTCTATAAACAGACATAATTTCTTCTTCAGTTACAAACTTCCGCTGTTCAAGTCCTATAATTGCTGTGTCGAGAATACCGACTAATTTGTCCATCGAAATTTTTTCGTTTTCAATAACCTCTGTGTCCCTTTCTTCACTATCGGAAGCGAATTATAATGACGAGGAATTTGATTTAAATCATATCAAAGACGGAGTTAATCGAGGTGAAATACTACATTTAGTAAGGAATTATAAACCAAATAAAATAAAAACATCTGCCCTGAAGATAAGGATAGTGCTGACAGGTCAACCTTAGGAACCTTAGTAACAACTCTAGGAACCTTAGGAAAGGCAAATCAAAAGAGGAAATTTTGTTTGAGAGAAAAATAATTTCGTAGGGTTTGATACGAAATTCTTAAAGCCAGGTAGAAAACTATCTAGAAAAACTAACTATAAAGAAGGTGTTGGTTGATGCCATTTTTTAAGGCATAGGTGCTCAACTCTTTTTACCCTGTGCATTTGTTTCACCACTTTCCTAAATTTCAACCTCTACGATACCAGGCAACACAAAAATTGAAAAGGAATCCCAAATAGAAGAAGAAATTGATAAATTCGCTCAAAATATTCAACATGCCATCAATCTAGCTACCAATAACATCACTATAAATATAATTATATGACTCTCCCCAGGGAAATCAAGGACAAGATTAGAAGAAAAAAGAGGATTCGGAAACTCTGGCAAAACACTGGAAACCCCATTATTAAAAGCCAACTCAACAGGATCCAAAACGAAATTAAAAGAAACATCGCAAATTTCAAGCAGGACAGATGGAAAAATTATTTAAATGACTTATCTACAGAAGACAATAGTCTTTATGAAATCACTAGAAAGCTCAAAAATAGTTATAAACAAATCCCTAATCTTCACACCCGCTCAGGCTTAGTATAGTTCAACCAAGACAAACAAACGCCATCGTAGACACTTTGCAAGAAACATTCACTCATAATTCACACCCGTATGATGAAGATACAATAAGTGAAGTCAATAGCCTTGTTAACAACTTTCTCAATACCCCTGGACTTTTTAACTTTACTTTCCTCACAAATCCTATCACCGTAGCGGAATTTATCAATTATCAGAAGAAAAAAGCCCCAGGGGACGATGGAATCACAAATATTGCTCTGAAGAATCTTCCTATCATCTGTCTCACTAAAATTATCAACAGCATCATCAAACTGGCTTACTATCCTAAAATTTGGAAACACGCAATTATTGTTGTCTTCCCGAAAACTAACTCTAATCTGGCTTTCCCAGAAAATTACCATCCCATTAGTCTACTAAGCAACCTTGCAAAAATAGCTGATCGCATCATATTGTACAATATCCAGCAAAAAATTCATTCCTTCAACTACCTGCCTGACGAACAATTTAGCTTCAGAGAAAAACATAGCACCACACAATTACTAAGAGTTATAAACTACAGTTACATCCACCAAAGTTGTTGTTGATGCTGGGCGGAGCTTCGTTGTGACTTCAGCTTACGTCACAACCACGGCCAGCACGGCCAAGTCAAGACCACGTGACTTCCCTGCGCGTTCGGGGATTTAGGGCCGACCGTTCAATACAGTCGCTGTTGTGTATAAAAAAATTTACTTTTTGAAATAGATAGTTCTGATGGGTTCTGCGATGTTGTTGGCGGTATTGCCGCGCATGCGTAGATGCATTGCAAGGCCTTGCAAACTTTACAAACATTTTTCAATTGAGTTTTTCTTCCCCGCTTTGCTATATGATTGAAGTTCCATTCAAATTCTTTGCCTGGCCATGCATCAAATGTAAAGAAATAGTAATGGGCCGATGACGCCAAATAACTTGGCGAGAAAGTTGTTATTAGACCTTCCTACAACCCAGAAAATGTCCTAACCCCTCCTAATTTTTTCTCTTCCCCTTCTTGAACGTTTGCGAACAACCGCTCTCGTATTTTACTTATTTAAAGGGCGTGTGATCGTGCGCGTTAGTACATTGATTACTAGGTCTTTGCTTGCAAGTTAGCGATAGTTTTTAATGTGTAAGTTTTAAATATACTTAAAATGTCTTTTGCATTCTGTTAATGGATATTTTTGGTATTTTTTAATCATGCAAGTGTATAGTTTAATGCAAATAAAAGAATGTATGTTTATCACATGAAAGAGTATTGTGTATATTTGCAATAGTTTTGCGTAATATGTTTAAAAAAAAAATACTAAAAAGCCTTTAATGCCTTTTTGATGATTGATTAATCTGTGTAATATTGATATCTCGTCAAAAAAGTTGAATTTTTGTATTTAACGGTAACTGGTAATAAACTTTAATATAATCACAAACTTTAATACACGAATAAATATTATTAATCTTAAAAAGTTTTCAACAACTTATTAATTTAAAACTAGTTTATTTCTAGTCTTTACAAGGTAACAAAATGAGTAGTTTTTCTATAAAATCTTTTTTAAATTAGCATCATCTATTTAACTTCTATATAATAGTTTTGTTTATTAATAACTTATGACTCTTTTATGTTTTTTGTCGTACTGAAATTCATACTGTAACAAAGTAGTTATTCAAGAATTGTGAAAGATAAGTAGAAAAACAAAAATATTAAACTTAGCCATGCTGTGGGCATAATCATGTACCGAGACCAGAGTGAAGTTAATCCTTCGTTTCATTTATTCTACCTTTTCTTCACGACTTGTTATTTTTATCCATCTGAAGTTTAACGATGAGCTTGATTAATAAATCTTAATTTCCAGGTTTACTGTTGTCACTCTGAATTGCAACATCACTGTAGGGCAACTTGGGGGTTAACTTAAGGGTAACTTTTATCTCCTACAGCAACTTAACTGTAGGGTTCGGTTTACATTTTCTTAAAACCAGCTGAGGTGTTTAACAGGAACTTATTTGAAAACTATCAGGAGGCATGACTGAAAATTAACACAAAAGTGAGCTTGAACTCATTTTATCATATTGTTGCTTTTCAGTACCATAGCTCTTATCTGAAAATAATTCAGCCCTTTTTACTTGTGGCTTACTAGATAAAGTACCCAATTGGTTTTTAAGGATATATTTTATCCTTTAATAAACAAGATTTAAGATTGTCCTAGAATATAAGTAAAATAAATTATTACTTATATTGAACTCATCTTACGATTTCTAAAAGTAACGTTGATAGATGTTACAAAATTTATGTTAATCACATAAATTATTAAAAAGACATAATTGAAAAAGGAATTTTATAACAAAGTACTCTAATATATTTTTAAACCTAAGAAAAAAGTTGTTTTTCTGTCTTTATTTGTCTTTTGTATCCTTTCTTTTCAATAAAACCAAAAAAATGAAAGGCCGTTTTGATTAAAAATATATGTGCTGTATTTAAATTTTTTTTAAGTCTTTTCTGATTAAGCATAATCTGATCTATGTTAATAGTTTTGGTGTTTAAAAATGGGAAGAGAGTAAGAATATTTTTTCTCTAATTAAATCTGAGCATAAAGAGATTTTTAAATATTTACATATACTAATTGAAAATACATGGTTCTTAATATCTTTCGAAGATCTTTTGTTTTACTTTTTTAAGAATTACAAGGTCCATCATTCAAAGAGTGTTTGCTTGGAATTTTACTATGATTTTTTTTTTTTTTTTTGTTAATTTTTCCTCCTCTCATAGTTATCCTTCATTTTAGGACATTTATACAACTTATAGAGAATTGCATTTTTTTTTTTTTTTTTAATTTAGAGCCCCATTTCTCAAACTTTTCCGAAGTTTTGCGACATGTACAAGGTGAGACCGAAAAGTAAGGTGACTGATGCCGTAATAATAACTGTATTATATATTTACATATAATTACATAACTGTTTTTCAAAGTAGTTTCCACTGTCTACAATACACTTCTGACAATGTTCATACAAGTTCTGGAAATTTTTGAAAAACTTTTCCTTTGAGACTGTGTTAAGTTCCATGGTAACAGAGCTTGAATGTCTAGAGATGCTCGAAAATGGGTGTCCCTTTAGTGCCAATTTCACTCGTGGAAAGACTAAAAAGTCTGCTAGCTCAAGATCAGGGAAATAAGGAGGGTGAACTCCATAACCTTTTGCTGCATGAGGAACCGTCTAACACACATTGCATTATGAGGGCGGGAATTATCATGCAACAGAAACCACTTGCCTGATGCAGCGAGATGGGTGTATTAGCACTAATGTGTATTAGCACTTACAATGATAATGAGATGGGACTGTAAATAATTCTGCATTGGCATGACCAGTCATCGTATAGTAGAGAAATCGTGGAATTTTCTGTTTGTGAATTGAACTTTCCTTCTTTAGTAGAGTCTAAAGAGAAAATTAAAAAAAAAAGTGTTAAACTGATAACATATCAAGAAGCAAGTCGAAAATTAAGAAACGTATCCCCTTTTCACATTTTTTATTGAAACTTAACAACACGTCCACAACATTAACACTAACAAAATCCAAAGCTCCCACGCAGTGAAGAAGCTTGGTGTTGCCAACATGGTAAAGATAAATGTACTAAACTAACATGCCTCCTTACATTTATATTTACTAATTATAAATAAACACAGATATAAGCAACCTTTTTGTCTTTACCAATTACAATTAAGCATAGGTATAAACAATAACATTCAAATCTTTTAACGCAAATTATTTCAAAGAAAATCATTAACTTAAATGTTAAAATCAAAATTAAATACAATTTAGTTTACATAAGGACATTACCAAAATCTATTTTAACACATAGAAAAATATTTAAATAAACAGTTCTATTCCGTTTTGAGGACCGTAAAGAAATTGCAGCGAAAATGTATGCGCAAAAATGCCAAATCTAGCAAACACACCCATTTAACAGCACGCCAAATCTAGCGTACTTGCTGATTTCAGATTGGGTAAGGTTTATATAGTTCTATATTTCTTAAGACTCCATTGAAATACTAGTTTAATTTTTAAATCCTTTTTTTTTTTTTTTTTTTTGATATATTGATATCCTATGGATTTAACAATTTGGGAATTGCCTGTGACGAAAAGTCTGCAATAGAATTTTGAGTAAAGTGCAGAATCACCCATTGCTTGATGCATTTTTAGGAATTGCACATACTCGGTATCCATGTACACATCGACCTATTTTCACTTATTTCAAAAAAAAAAAAAAAAAAAAAAATCCCTGAATTTCACAAAAATGGCACTGCGCACACCCTTGACTTTATCTATGTACACATCGACCTATTTTCACTTAAAAAGTCAAAGAAAATTGACAAAAATCCAATTGTTTTTACCCTTGAATAAAGCAGCAAACAAGTAAGTAGGCGATTCTGCACTTTACCGAGAATTTTTTTATAGAAAAGGCATCATTCATTATAGAAAATTATGTTTGACCAACCAACGAGATGAAGTTATGCTTTAGCGAAATAGCGATGCAGGCATCCATTCAGTTATATTTAGCAATTTTTATATAAATTATAAAAATGATCTGAAATAGTTATTTACTCTTATGCTTCCATTCGGTCATGTTTAGCCTTTTTTATATAAATTATAATAATAAAAAAGTATTATGCGAAATTAACATTTCATCTAAATTAAAACATCAATCTTGGATAGTTATTTACTATTATACTTCCTTTCTTGCATTAGGGTTGCTGTAATTATTTTTGGCAGCACTGACATCAACAATAGTTTGGCAATTTTTTACTGCCCTCAAAACTGAGTAGTACCAAATAAACATTACTTAAATAAACAGTATACAAAATATATTTTAATTTCAAACCTTAAAGATATCTGCAATTCTGAATCAATCTTTACAATTTCAATTACTCCATTTTGAACATTTTGGTGTATATAATGATATTGAACTTCTATGTGTTTTGAGTTTTTAGTGAAGTTCCTTTAATTAGCAATGGCCAAAGCTCCTGAATTATTTTCATAAATTTTAATGGGGTGAGTTATATCAGCAAAAACATCATTCACAATATCTTTTAAGAAATTAATTTCTGTCACAGCCTCAAACAGAACAATATATTTAGCAAAAGTGGAAGATTTTATCACAATTTTGCTTTTTGGATTTCCAGTAAATTGGATTACAAAATAATTCAATAAGAAACCCAGTAGTTGACTTTCTGTCAACAATATCACCTGCCCAATCAGCATCAACATAACAATTCATAATATCAGTTTTAAGATTTTTACTATAGAACTGTTAATTTTAGATGTTTTGTTTTTGTAAGTACAAATACTTTTAAAACTCTTCAAAGCATATTTGAAATGTGTCTCATCATAACAATTTTGAAATCTACTTAAATAATTTACGTTGAAAGATATGTCTCGTCTATTACCATGACTAATATACAAGAGTGCTCCTATTAGATTTCTATATTTAACATTTTGATTTAAATTACATTAGTTTAGTTTAAGATCAATCTCCATTCGTATATCATAAAGCTTGGAATTTTTAATACCATACAATTTAGCTAAAGATTGAACATAATTTTTCTGACTCAATGTTAAGATATTACTTTTCTCATTATCATATTCAATATCAATTCCAGTGTGGCTTTTTACTTTAGTTAAGTCCTTCAGTTTAAATTTATTATGTAATTGTTCCTTAATATCATTAATTGAGTATCTTTACAACATATCAACAAATAAAAGAATTTATACAAATAATCATTTTCAGATTTTACATAAAGACAATAATTATATTTACTTCTACAAAATCCTAGACCATTGATGGTGAACAAATGGCACACGTGCCACAGTCGACACACAGAGCCACATCAGCCGGCATGCTACTAAAATATTGCTTCCTTAATCAATTATCACAATAAAATGATATGTAATTTAAATAAGTGTTTTAGTCTGTTTCTTGAACCTTTCACTTACTTATCGTATAAAGCCACTGGCATAGGGCCTAAGCCTAGGTATAAGATTTTCATATATCGCTATTGAAATGATATACATATTTATTGACCCAATTTATGACGCTTCAGTTATTTGGACCAATCATATTACTTGTTACATGGCAAAGTTGAAGCA